GAGCGCCATTTTGGGATTCCTGATCGGCGGATCGGGTAGGACTCATTTAAAACTTTGTCTCCCACTTTTCTCCCAGAGCTGTACATTTCCTCATTTCCCTTTCCCTTGCAAATAAACCTTTTATTAACCTTTCACGTGTGCCTGCAGTAGAGCATTGATAAGTCCTTTTAAGCGCGCGGGTGAGGACCCACAGTCAGGCACCCCGTTTTGTATCGGGGTTGCTCTACAACAGTGCCACCAGCACAGCTCGGGCGTGAGACGGAGGTACCGAGGACACGAAGGGATTGTGGAGTGGGAGGGTAGGTGGAAGGAGGGAAGAGGCCAGGGGAGGGAGAGAGGGGAGAGGAGGAAACCATTACAGATATGATGGAAAAACGCGGAAGCCACTTTGGATACTCCCCGTTGGTGGCAGTGTCTCATGAGCTCGAGGTCTGCAGCAGAGGGAGGAGGGAATTCCAGAATGCGTGTTTGCACTTACATGGAAATATAAATAACACCAAATTTGCTGACTCTCATGGCTTGGGAATTCCAAGGTATTTTGAGGATTTTAAGACTCTTTCAAGCAGTTATGAGTCTTTGGGGGTTAAAATATAGTCCAGGGCTGTTTCCAGCCACAAGGTCAGTTGAGTCCAATGATGCTTCTAAATCGGGGGAGGGAGGCTGCCTTCTTGGGAGAAAGACAATGTCCTCATCACAGAGTCCAGCATCCGGGTGCTTCGGTGGAATGTGTTGAACTGTTGGATTCCTGATCCAACACACGTGTTTTGAACAGAGATAGGACCGGGTAGTCCCTGGAGCTTTAAGTTCCTGTGCAGAACCAGTGGGTCCGTCCACCTCTTAGAAACATGAGTACTGCCTCTTCCAATTGTATTTACTGCTACTTTCTGACCTGCATGTGTGCTCTTGCAATTAGTAAATATATGTCTTAAGAGTATCATCGAGGCTTCCCTAGTAGCACAGGGGTTAAAGTCTCAGCACTATGAAGCTATCAGCAGCCACTGCAGCAAGAATTTGATCCTGAGCCAGGGAGCTACCCACATGTCACAGCAGACCTCTCCTGTCTCTCCTGCTGTTCCCCTCAGCAAAGTATTTCAGTCAATCTGCCTGTTCTGCTTCCCACTTCGTCTCTGGTGAGTCCTCTCAACCCTGCACCTCTGGCCTACACCCTAGTTCTTGTATGCATAAATAAGTAAAATAAATCTTTAAAAAAAAAGATAAGGACCTTCACCATATGTGGGCAGTTGGGACAAGCTGTGGAGAAGGCATGTGGTGTTTAGACACACATGTCTTAAATAAGTCTTTTGGTCATCTGCCTTAATGTGATGATTTTATTTATTTATTTTTATTGAGATAACATAGGTTTACAACACTGGATAGGGTAAACGGGAGTAGACTATATCCTCAGATGTATGTTACCATGAGAAATGCATTTATGATACCATCAAGGCTCCCATAGAACTTTACCCTACACCACTGGGCTCCCTTCCTGCTATGTTCCACCCCACCCTCCCCCTCTAGTAGCCTCAGTTCTGCAGTCATATTTCTAGGGATTGTTTTGGTATAGTTTTGTCAGTTCCCTTGTTTGCTCTCCTATATTCCACGTAAGAGTAAAATCATCTAGTAATTGTCTTTCTTTTTTCAAAGATTTATTTATGCATACAAGAACTGGGGTACAGGCCAGAGGTGTGGGTGAGTGTGTGAGAGGATTCACCAGAGACAGAGTAGGGAACAGAACAGGTAGATTGACTGAAGTACACTGCTGAGGGGAGCAGCGGGCGAGTCAGAAGAGGTCTGCTGCGCCATGTGGGTCACCTCCCTGGCCAGGGATCGAACTCGTGTTGCAGTGGCCGTGGATAGCTTCATAGTGCTGCAGCCCCTCATGCCACCAAGGATTGTCTCATGCCCCAGTAATTGTCTTTTGTTTTCTGATTTATTTCATTTAACATCACCCCCCTGCAGTTCCATCCACATTGTTTGCAAATGGCAAGAGTTTCATCTTTTTTTTTTTTAATAACTGAGTAGTATTTGTGTATATGTGCCACATGTTCTCAAGCCACTCCGCTATCAGTGGGTACTTAGCTTGTTTCCAACACTTGGCTATTGTAAATAGTGCTGCAGTGGACCCAGGAGTGCATATATTGCTCTGAATTTGTGTTTTCGTAATGCAACAATTTTGATACCTAGAGCAAATTACTAAATTTGCAGCTTAGAAAAAGCTTTTATACACAAAAAGTTTGGAAACCATTTCAGTGTGTTGAACATAGAGAATATTTAGGGCTTGAGATGTGCTTGTCGGATGTTGAAAGGATGAAGGGGGGGGGGTGCTTTTGGCAGAGTAACAGACCTGCCCATCAAACACTCAGGGATCTGTGTCTCATGATCCCTGGGAAGGTATAAGTTATTCTCCTAATCATTGTGGATAGTGGATCCTGAGTAACAACTTCTGCCTATTTATGTGTCTGGGTCTTTGTAATTAGGCTTTCTCCCTTGAACAAGTTCTCCAATTAGCCACAAAATATTTTAGATCTTAAGTTGAAAACAAGATGATTGCATTTTGTTGCAGGGTCAAAGTTAGACTTTAAGAGCAATGCCATTTTTTAAAAAAATATTTATTTATGCGCACAAGAACTGGGGTGTAGGCCAGAGGTGTGGGGGGTGAGAGGATTCACCAGAGACAGAGTGGGGAACAGAACAGGCAGACTGACTGAAATACACTGCTGAGGGGAGCAGCGGGCGAGACAGGAGAGGTCTGTGCCATGTGGGTAGCTCCCTGCCTGGTGGGGATCGAACTCATGCTGTAGTGCCTGGCAATAGTAGCTTGAAAGCCTTGTCTTGAACCCCTGAGCCACCAGGGAGGCCCCAGCAATGCCATGTTTTAAATAGAATAGTGTGAATGCCTTTTAGTGATTTGATTTGAGATCTTTGGAGAGTTATTTGGGCACAGACAAGCTTAACCTGTAGCTGCCCAGCTGCCTTGTCTCCATGCAGTGAATGTCCTAGGAGCGGAAGCACACTGGTCCTCTTGCCAGGGCAGTCTGACCCAGCAGAACAGCTCTCCAGCCACTGGGAATGCTAATGTCCCACCGGAAGCTGCTGCTCCTCTCTAACCCCTGAAGCGAGTCCTCAGGAGACACAGGATAGCTGAGGAGGATCTGACGTGGCTTCTGTAATGTTCAAAAGTTCTGGGACAACCTCCAACCGGGCTCTACTGCTCTGCTTGGACAGCGCTAATGAGCGTGCAGGGCCCTCTCCCTTCTTCCTCCTGCAATGAGACCCACCCCTGCTCTCCTCTTCATCCCATGAGCCTAAGGGGAGGTGTCCAAAGAGCTCCTCCCCTTATAAGGTTGGCTATTTTTTTTTAAACAGCCTTATCTGTAGCTAAACCCCTGTGCATATTTAATCTAAGCCATTTGATGAGCGTGGACATTGCATGCAAAACTGTGAAAATCACTTTATAAGTTAGAAGGAGAAAGACAAATATCTGATGATTTCATTCATACACGGAGTATAAAGAAAACAAAGAAAAATGACATAAGTAAATAAAAAACAGACCTAGTAATCTGACTGTAGAATTGCAGCTACCAGAGAGGAAGGGACCACCGGGGGAGGGAGCACCATGGACTTCCAGGAGGACTGTGGTGGGGGATGGTGGTGAGGAGCCTTGGGGGCGGGTGTGGCCTTACAGCCCTGCATCCTCTCCAGTGTTGTAAACCAATGTTACCTCAATACAATAAATAATTAAAATTAAAAATCACCCAATAAAGCTAAATATAAAGACACATTGAAAACTGTGCTTGTATTACAATGGTATGCTCATCGCTCTTAACTTTGGTATAAATGTTAAAAGACAAAAGTATTAAGGTTATAACTCAAAAATTGGATAATGAATACACGATATAAAGAAATGAAAATGATAACTTACAGTATCATCATTATCACAATATTATGTTAGTATGTAATCGTTAATTATGATTGCGTATGACGAAATATTATAGTAGGTCGTCTCCTCCCTTCATGATCTGGGTCACCCTGCTGGAGGAAAAGAACTTCCTCAGCTCCATAGGCAGCACTGGGCTGCTTTTCTCTTTACAAACAACAGTTGCCTAAGAAAAGACTTGGCAGGGACCAAACAAAAGACAAGATAACACAAGACAAATCTATGATCATTTCTTGAATGCAGTGCGGTTCTATTTCTGTTCCTGTGGTTCAAACATTAAGGGGTTTTTTAAGACTTCAAATAAATCTCTTTGCTGGAAGATTAAAGAGAATTTCCCAAATAAAATAAAATTTAAACACTCAGATTAAAGGAAGCAACATTGCCAGCTAGTTGCCCTCATGGTCTATATCATGGGTATCTTTGCGCCCAGGATGAGATGGAATAACTCTGAGATGGAATAACCCTCATCTTTTCAAGTCTATGTCTGCAGGGCAGCCAAGGGCCTAGGTGGGGTGGAGACCCCCGTGTGGCGGTGGAGGGCACTTCAGCCTCGGAGGCTGCCTGATCCCTTTGATCTGCACACACGTCTGGCAGGACTGAAGACAGCAGGTGCCTAACCCTGCAGCTGCCACGGGCAAAGGACCCACCACGTTTCCCCTCTCTGCTTTGCTTTTTCTCTGAATCCTTGAGGGCAGACTGGCCTGTCCTGGAACCTGACATCCGTGCACTGAAGTTCAGGAGAACAAAGGAGTCTTGAAGTCATGACAACATATCCTTCAAGGGAATCTGGCTTTATTTGGACTAAAATGGAGATTTTAAGGTTTTGAAGACTTGTTTACCCATGAGGGCTCTGATGTAAAAATTGTCACAGTCAGGAGGCATCTTCCGATCTCAAGAAGCAAGTGTAAGTTCTGGGTCACCCACCTTCCCACGGCGTCCTCAGTTTTCCCAGAGCCTTGGTGGCTCTTAGCAAGCCTGAAGGCAAACCACTTCCTCTGGATGTCTGCCCCTGTCTCCGGCTTGTTCCAGGCTTCCCAGCAGCCCTTCCCTGGCGCTCCCACCATGAGTCACCGCCTCTCCTTCTACCTGCGCCCTGAGCAACTTGACCTCGTCCGCGCTCCTCTTTAGGGTGAAGAGCAGAGGGGGAGAAGCACACATTTCAGTCATGGTTTCTGTTGGACACCCAAGTAGCTCAGAGTGCTTCACTCAAGGGGGGCGTCAGCTGTGATTTTTTCTCTTTTCAGCAAAGTGCTTTAAATAGTGGCTTTTCCACAAACGTCCAGCCACCAGCCCCAGCACCTGGTAGCCATTTCCAAGTGGCCAAGTGCAGACCCCTCCCCAGATTCTGCTGACTTTCTATTTGAAGCTACTGTGTTTGCCTCTGACTCTCTGGAGCCTTGAACTTTTTTTTTTTTTAATTTGCATAGAACTGGGGTGTTGGTCAGAGGTGCAAAGGAGTGCATTGAAATTCAGGAGAACAAAGGAGTCTTGAAGCCAGGACAGGTGAGAGGACTCACCAGAGACAGAGTGGGGAGCAGAGCAGGCAGATCTACTAAAATATACTGCTGAGGGGAGCACCAGGTGAGACCAGAGAGGTCTGCTGCGCCATGTGGGTCAGCTCTCTGGCCAGGGATTGAACTCAGGCCTCAGGGGTGATAGTGCTGAGACTGACCCCTAGGCCACCAGGGAGGCCCCTGGAGCCTTGTTTTCCTTGAGGCTAGTTTTCCTTGATGTTGGGCAGCTTGATCCCTGAAAATGTAAATTCTACCCATTACCTTCAGCACAACTTTGTCCCAGGTGGGGCAGTGGATTGATCTTGAGGGAACAAGTGGAATCTCTGGGGCCCATGTGCCTGCAGGGATTCATGGCTACTGGCTGTGTGACCTTGAGCAGGTGGCTTAGTGTTTCAACTTCCATTGCTGCAAAACAGGGGTCATATTAGAAACCACTCATAGGTCATCATAAGGATCATATGAGTTAGCTTATATTAAGAGATAAAATAATTGATGACATACAGTCACTGACCAAAACTGTTCATTATTCTTTAAAATAGAAGTAGATTTAATTACATCTATAAAAATCAGCCATGTCTGGAGCCTCCCCTGGTGGCAGAGCGGTTGAGCGCTGGGCTGTGAGGCTGCCCGCAGCCTCTGCGGTGCCTGTTCTATCCCCAGCCACCGGCAAGGGTCCCACATGGCGTGACAGACCTCTCCTGCCATGCCCACTGCTCCCCTCAGCAGTGTATTTCTTCGTCAGTCTGTCTGTTCCGTTCCCCACTCTGGCTCTGGTGAATTCTCTCACCCTCCCGCGCTTCTGACTATACCCAGTGCTCGTAAAATTAAATAAATCAATCTTAAAAAAAAAAGAAAAAAATTAAAAAAAAAATCAGCCACGTCTGCAAAGTCCCAGTCCATTCTCATTTCTCATAAGCTCCTAAGTGTTTCTGCTGCTTTGGGAACCGCATATTGACTAGCAAGGGCTGATCCGATGGGCTGACCTGGGGAGGAAGCTTATCCTGGGTGGAGGTGGATGCCTGAGGGCACTGTTCTGGCTGCTGCATCTTCACATCCACAAGTGTGGCCAGGGCTCTTGCTAAATGATGTTGAAATGGCCTTGAAGTGCTTGGCCTGGTCAAAGCCATCTTATTTTCATCTGAGTATTATTTTTTTATTATTTTAAAGATTCACATATATAACAAGGGAATCACAGTCACCAATTATCAAAAGGGACTCAAATATGCATTTTGAAAGTAAAGGTATTGTAGTTAAATGCAGGTAAAATAGATTTCTGAAAGATGATGCAAACTACCTTTTGAAAGAAAAATCATAATTTTCCAGCATTTTAAAGTTTGAGGATTACATGATATCAAATTCTTTTGACTCTGGGGACTTGCTTACCTGTTTATTCTCCTCCCCCACTTCTGTGTATGTACAAACCAGACATTCTTACCTTTATTTTCACGTGGTTCTTGGTTCCTATTATAGCTTTTGAGGGATTGCAATTCTTCACCATTACCAGAAGAGAAACTTGAGGGAGGGGACAAGAGGAAAGTCAGGTAAGGAGGCCCTTGTTTATGGGCAGAAGCAAACTACAAGTGAAGCAAGATCAAGTCTTCATTCCCCAGATCACCATCCTGTGATTTCCAGAACATTCTGACAGTCCTGATGTTTCTTGTCCTGTGTTTCCTTGGAGTTCTTTGGAATTTAATTTTGATCACTCGTGATGCCTCTGGCACACCCGTTTGTATTCTAGGCTAAAGCTGTCACAAGGCAAAGGAAACTAAGGATTCCCTTCTAGATCTCCAGGATTTGTGGTTGGCTGGAGAGTTGACTGCATCTTGCTTTGGTGGCACTTTCCCCGCAGGGAAGGTTTGTGGTCTGTGAGTCTCTAACACGCATAGCAGAGCTGGACTGACATGGAAAGGAGGCTCTGTCCACAAGGGTGGTCTGGACAATCTCACAGGACCAGCTCTTCCCCCAGGTGTAGACACACCTGCTGCTAGCCTGGGGAGGCCCACGGGAGGTGGCTGCTGGCCTGGTGCCATCTTCACCCTGTAAAAGGCAGTGGCCACAGTGAGTCTTCCAGATGTTGGAGGAAACAGCTGAAAAAGAATAGACTCCACCTTGAGATGGGTCCCCCAGTCCTTGAACCCCAGGACCACAGGGGAACAAATAGAAGGCTGAGGAGCTTGGGGTCTGTGTTACAGCAATTTGCATTATTAATAGCAGAGATTTAGGCCAAAGGCTATCTGGGATCTTGTTTGTGATATTGAGGGTTTGTGCTAAGTTTATTTATATTGTAATGTCAAAGATCCTTGACTTTGGGGGTGGGTGATTCCTTAGTCCTCTTCTTGAATGCAGGTTACACACTTTGCCTAGTATTTCTGTCTACTGGGGGAAACTGATTGCTCTCACCAAACTCACAAACTCTTACGATGTGTATATGTCTTTACCCTTTCATGTTTATTTATTTGTTTATTTATTTATTTATTTATTAAAGATTTATTTATTTATTTATACAAGCACTGGGTTATGGTCAGAAGTATGGGAGGGTGAGAGAATTCACCAGAGCCAGAGCGTGGAACAGAACAGGCAGACTGACTGAAATACACTGCTGAGGGGAGCAGCAGGCACGGCAGGAGAGGTCTGTGCGCCATGTGGGACCCTCGCTGGCGGCTGGGGATCGAACCGGTGCTGCAGAGGCTGCAGGCAGCTTCGCAGCCCAACGCTCAACAGCTGCACCACCGGGGAGGCCCAACCCTTTCATGTTTAAATCTTTGAATTTGATAGAATCCTAGGAAATGTAACTGTATGCACTTTGGAGCGCTTGTTCCTTTTGTATTCTTATGACCACAAAAATACTTAGATTCTTCAGTGCAAGATACCTAAAGTTATATCCAATTGAATTTTGAATATTATAAAGTATGGCTTTGTCTGATTAGAGACCAGAATTCATGGACTCATTCTTTTATGATTCCTCCTTTGGTTAAAAACTGCTTTTTAATTGCATGTATTTACCACAATTTCTCTTCTCTGTTAATGCACTTAATGAATCAATTATATAAACATGATTAAGTAATAAAACTCAGCAGAAATACATAAAAGTATTTTGTTTGCTATGTTAATGCTTTTTCACTTTCTATGTAATGGGCAGTTTTCTAAACTCTTGGTTTCTCAGACCCTTTTGAGAATTTGACATGCTTTTGACACTCTTGCTGGAAAATGCCCACCTACATGTCACTCCATCCTGGTTGGTGCCCTTTGGGCATCCCTCAGTCTAGTGACTCCTTTATCTGCACGTTGTTGTTGGCCTTACTCTGCTGATTTCTGTAATCATAGTTTCTTTTCAATTTGATCATTCTCTGCATTGGCTCAGAAAAATATGGTGGTTACCAGAGAGGGAAGGAAAGAGATGTGGGGGAGAGATGGTCCTAGAGCTTTGGTGGTGGGTAAGCTGATACACATATTGAGGTGTGGAGCTGTACCCCCAAATTATATTGATTATATACACTCAATAAAATTGTACTAAAAATAAACTCAGCAGAGGTTTCTGCTCTTTGGTTTGGACACTCAGCCGTGCTCGGGGGTGTCCAAGTGGAAGGCAAGAATGACTCAAACAGTCATGGTGACTGTGTCTGTGAAGATGAACCTCAAGCCTTTTGAAGGAGTAATTGGTGCTCAGTCTTCTTTTTTTAAATATTTATTTTATTTATTTATGCATACAAGAGCAGGGGTGTAGGCCAGAGATGGGGGCGGGGTGGGAGGGGTTGAGAGGATTCATCAGAGACAGAGTGGGGAGTAGAACAGGCAGACTGACTGAAATACACTACTGAGGGGAGCAGCGGGTGAGACAGGAGAGGTCTGCTGTGCCATGTGGGTCAGCTCCCTGGTTGGGGATTGAACTCGTGCTGCAGTGGCTGCAGATAGCTTCATAGTGCTGATGCTTAACCCCTTGCACCGCCAGGGAGACCCTGGTGCTCAGTCTTAATTCAGGATAGTTTGAAGTTGATCTCACTCTTAATGTGGTTTGCATTAAAAGATAAACTGAGGCACAGTAAAGCAGTATTTATTTGAACAAAAACCTGAATGGGGCCATGCCATTTGGAAGCAGTTGGGCACATTCTGAGGGAAGCCAAGGGAAAAACATGAACAGAAAAAGTACAAAAGCAAAGAAAGGACATGACTTGACTGGCTGACTGGCCTTCAGGCTTATTTGACTGATTGTGGTTGGTTGTCCTTAGCATTTTGATTTCACGACCTGGAGACATTTATGGGCTTGGATTGGGGTTGCTTCCTATTTAGGTTGCCTTAGAGCTTTATCAGTCTGGTGGTTTCCTTATTTAATTAATTTAGCAGTTGTCTTTACCACCATGACTATTATCAGCATCAACCGTGACCACCCACCTTGTGACCAACACTCACCTTGTGTGGAAGAACTTAGGTTAGGGCCGGGACAAGATAATTTCAGTGAAGGTAAGCAAAGCAAACACCATGCTTGCCTTAGGAGGCAGATCTCTCTTGTCTGGCTGCACATCACAATAGGACGCAGAAGAGACTGTTACCCTGGGAACTGAGAGAGAAATAATAGGAAGTTCTTGCAGGTCTCTCTTCAAGTCCATGCACTGCCACCTTCTGGCAGGAGCCACTCTGGCTGCGACTTGCTGCTCCTCCTCACCTGTCTCACCAGCTCTGCAGCCAGAGCAATCTTTTTAATGTGAAAATTTCATCCTGATGCTTTGTTGCTTAAATATCCTCAGTTTCCATATGATGATGTCCCAAACCTCCTTGCTCTGGATTCATCTCTACATGTGGCATCAGCTCTGATATTTCTGCTGAGCACATTCTGCTGAGAACATAGGTTATTTTTCATTTTCTCATCTTTTTAGATGATTTTCTTCAGCCTCATACACTTTCCTTTTTGTCTATCTAGAAATTACTATTCAATCTTTAAGAGCCAGCTCAAATGTCACCCCTTCCAAGAAGTTTCCCTCAATGTCTTCAGTGACAATTAAGTTTATTCCACTGTATCCTCACAATGCCTTGCTCCTACCTGTATGAAAACCTTAAGGCACATAAAGAAGCCAATATAAGGGCCTCCCCAGTGGCTCAGGGGGCTGAGCGCTGTGCTGTGAAGATGTCCGCAGCCTCTGTAGCGCAGGTTCGATCCTGGCCGGCCAGGGAGATACCCACATGGCAGGCAGACCTCTCCTTCCTCGCCCGCTGTTCCCCTCAGCAGTGTCTTTGATCCGTCTGCCTGTTCTGCTCCCCACTCTCTCTGGTGAATTCTCTCACTCTCCCACACCTCTGACCTGTACCCCAGTTCTTGTATAAATAAATAAATCATTAAAAAAAGAAAGAAGCTAATGTAAGACTAGGATTTCTGTAGGACAAGGTTTTTCATCTGTTCATCTTCAGTGCAAAGACGGATAGAGAGTTGGCATTTAATTGTTGCTAAGCGAGTGATGCACACATATCATTGGAGATAATCTCTGGGGGTAAACTCCAAATGTTCATTTTTGTGCTGAGAAAGCAATTTTCCCCCTCCTGAGATTTCCTTTCCGATTTACTCTGGTGGAACAGGATGGAAAGCTAGGAACAGAGCTGTGGACAGAGACGGGAAGGGAATTTGAAGACATGAAAGAGTAGAGATGATCATTGAAACAGAAGTGAAAGTAAGGGTCTCCCTCTTTATATGTATCCATTTCAGGACTAGAGAGAAACGTCCCCATGGATTTGGAAAGCGGGAGGTGGGGCGCCCCGTCTGATCCAAGGGAGGAGACAAGATGAGCGTCTCCCTGTACAAAGTTCAGGAGGAGCTTGGGCATCCAGCCTCCAGCTGTCTCTCCATTCTGTTTATTTTCCTTTGCATGATCCCTCCCATCGCTGAGGAACCTTCCCTTTTAGCCTGTTCAGCTGAGATCACTGGAAAACATAACCTTGGCAACTCCAAAGAGCCTCTGGGGCCCATTCAGGCTTCCATTGTTCCCACTGCAAGAGCTAAGATGCACTTTGCTGAGAACTCAGCATCTGACGTCTTGGTTGTTCTCGTGGTGGTGTACATATGGGAAGATGGAACTTTTCTAGTGGAAGTCCTTTCTGCTGGTCGCCATCCTTGTGGGGGGATGGTCAGTCGTACTGTTGATCCCCCTAAAGTGGGGAAGCAGATATAGAGAAGACTCTTCTTTAGCGTGAGTCTTCTTACCCTTTATATGAATACCAGCTGGCAAGAGGGCTCTTGGAACATACTCTAAAGGGTCATGAGTGAAGCAAGAACACATGGGACCTGGCTGCCCTTGACAATGATCTTCCCATAAAGTTGTGCTACTGCATTCAGCCCTGAAAGTCGGCGCTGCCTCTCTCACAGTAGCACGCTGCCTGAAGCGGGGCTAAAGGTTCAGAGTGGTTCTCTTTTTTGTTCTGGAATATCCAGATCCATTGCCCTTCATTCTGCGCTATAGTTCTGAAGGGATAAACATGAGCGAATTGACATGTTGCAAATTGGAGTGTGGGCAAAACTCGGTGAAACTGTGTTCAGAGCAGGTGATCAGAGGAATGCGACCGTGAGCATCAGTGTGTGGAGATTGTGGCAAGTGGTGAATCCATGGGGAGAGGCGCTTCCAGAGGGGGGTAAGTGACCTGTGGGTTTCCAAGGAGAGAGAGGATGGATGCAGCAGCTTTAGGACACCTGTGTTTACAGTTTAGGAGCCAATCGTCAAGAGCTGCATTTCAGCTGCTGGCTTCCTCCTTCCACTGCTGCCCAAAGACTCTGCTCCCCACAGTGTTGATCTTGCCACAGTTATCTCCATTGACCCTTTCTTAGGGACAGGCCATATTTCAACCTACAGAGAACATTTAAGAATTGGATGTTAACATTTTTAAATGTGTGGTTTATTCATGGGTTGCTAGACTGAAATTCTCCAATTAGTAAGCCATTTTGATCAATTTCATGTCAAAATTATATTTTCTTGCCCTAACTAGCTACACATAGACAAAGGCCTTATTTTCCTCCTGGGCCAAAAGATGGGACTCAGTGGAAATACACACACAGACACAGACAGACACACATATACACACACATGCACACGCACCCCTTATGTGCACATTCCTCTGATCACTTACTCTGAACACAGTGTTTTCACCAGGTTTTGCCCACACTCCAACTTCAACAGCTTTTTTATTAGAGGTGGTTATAGAGTAAGTGTAGATAATATCTCATTCATTCATTCATTCATTCATTCACTGAGTATGCTTCAAGCACCTTGATGAATCAGCTCCTCTGCTAGCAACTGTGATATATCAAGGACTAAGTCAGAGGATCTTCATCTGCTAAGGCTCTGAACTAACATAGCATCACACAGTAAATTGCAATCTCTATTATCCCTGTGGTGCAATATTTCAGTTGGCTTTTGTTTGCCCAGTGGGTCCTGGTGACTCTGCGATCTTAGAGCTGATGCCAAAGGCACAGTGAGGGTGGCGACCTGGACATTGTCTCATGTCTGCCAGGAGCTGGGTATGCTGGTGGGTTTCTTGAGGGCATCCATTTCCACGGCTGTGTTATGACAAAACCGATGGCTGCCTGAGCTGTTCAGTTGCCTCCCATTGTTGCATCTGTTCTAGGGAGCATCTGTGGTACTTTTGCCTGTTAATGCTTCATGTCATCTGTCCAGTGTCTGTGGAAGAGCTACGAGGGCCACCTGCTCAGGGGTGGCCTGCTCTGCATCAGGGTAGAATCCTGGCTTCTTTCTTTGGTCTTGTTTACGAAGAGCTGCCTGCACAACCTCAGATGGGAGAACACCAGCAGCACTGCTGGTGACTCTTAGTCACTCTGAAAAGAGCTCTGGTAATTTTCCTCTGTGAGAAAAGGGACTCCTTGCCAGTCGTAGCCTGTGATCTCTCTGCTGTCCTCTTCAGTCTCAGCTGATGAAACAGAAGTTTTGATTTCCTTTTCCGTTATTTTCTAGGACATGGAATCACTAGGGAAATGAGGCTAGAAACATTCAGGTTATCCCAGGCAGCCGAGAAATATTCATAGAAACAATGATATGACTCACCAAATCCTAGGATACAGTAACGATAGGATGCACACAATGACACCCCGGTGCTGATGGATATGTTATACATGTGGAGATCTGTGTGTCTCTCTGTGAAAGCGCATTTTTTCCCTGCAAAGTTTGCATCACATAGGACAGAATAATACTCTTTTTGCATTATCTTTTTTTCTGGACCAAAGGCAAAAGCAGCATTCACCTCTTGGCCAAAGTGTTTCTCTCTAGTACATTTTTGGGGCAGGGTTTTGTGGGAAATCTGGGTCTTCCATCTTGTCTTTATCATCCTTTATTCCAATTATCGTGGGGATACCTCCTGGAAGATAGAGGGAACATTGGTGGGATTGGGGTGTCTGCACTGCATGTGTTGGCCAAAGCACCACAACTCGTGAATTCTAAACTTGTGATTTTGGTGGAATCATTTGGCAAGTCCTCATTTAGTGTGGTCAATAGATTCTTGGAAAATGCAATTTTTTTTTAGATTTTTTAAAATGACCTATCATTGTTTTACATCCTTGCTAATATTTTGACAATATAGGATCTCCCCCTTCAGTTGTTACCACACCCATCACCTAAGCACCCACAGTCCTCTACCATTGTGCCCTCCCCCTACTTCTTACAATTCCCCATGCCCCTCCTCTTCTGGATGCCTCAGATCTATGGCCAGCTTTCAAGGGTTGGTTTTAATGTTTGTCTTTGATTGAACTTTTGCTTGGTTTTGCTACATTCCACATATAAGTGACACCATCTAGTATTTATCTTTCTCTTTCTAGCTTAGTTTGCTTAGCATATTCCCTCCTAGCTCCATCCATATTGCTGCAATTGGCATGAGTTTATCCTTTTTGATCACTGAGTAGTATTCCATTGTGTGTTTAGATCACATCTTCTTGATACACTCTTCTATTTTGGGGCATGTAGGTTGGGAAACTGCAATTTTAAGTGACATGAAAAACTACATTCCTTATAACATCACTCCATTTAGCATCGATTGAGATTTTTTTTCCTCACTGTGTTATCATGAAATGGCATTGAACAAAATGTCCTTCTTTGAGATCTGCTGCATCTCCTTTTTCCATCACCCATCTTTTCAGACACACAATACAGGTGAACTACCTCCTCAATCCTGATTCTCCTGCAAAGGTACACGTGAGCCGTGGGTCGAGCTGGAGAAGCTTTCTTTGGAACTGCAGTTCTGAGAAGGAAACTTGCATTTTGGTTCTTAAAGCTGGCAGTCCCTTCTCAGGGGGCTATTTTACCACCATGTGGGGAAAGTCTTCTGTGTCACAGAGGAATATCTCCAAGTAGAGAAAAGCAAAGAAAGACGTGGTCTGGCAGAGATTCCCAGGTATGCTGGATGCAGTCAGGAATAACACTAAAAACCACCCTGCCTCAGTCAGACGGCAAATCTGTGCACTAGAACAGTTCTGTTTTAATAGAAACTTAGAGAGTTAGTT